CCTGGTTCTGCCTACGCCTTTCTGTGGGAGCAAAGAAATCTGCTATTCGACTCATATTGTCAGCGTTTTCCCTGTTCGTCACAGTCACATTCTGAACTATTGGGGCAAATATTTCCTGCATGGTTTGCGCTAACACCCCTATCATATTGTGGTTGCTGTCATCCATCAATTGCCTAAAAGCCAACTGGTTATCTGTGGTTAGGATAGGCAACGTGCTATAACCCACTGACCCTTGGTTATTTGTCATAAATTGGTTCGCCCCAGACCCAGATCCTAGTTGTGGGGATGAATTCGAAGTGGAATTGTGTAAACTTGCCATAAAAGATGTTGGCATTCCGTAAGAAGAACTTCTAATTCTATTCCCATCGAAGCCGGGTGGTCTAGTTAATGGTGTGGCTAAATGGGATTGTGTTCCTGGTGGTGGAACGAATCCCCCAGGGTAGCCCATAGTTCCAGTATTTCCTAAGATCGAACTGTTAGTTGATATTCCACTTACTCCAGTGGTGGCTATGTTACTGGTTGAAGATGCAACAGACTGTGCATTCGAAGGGATTACATTAGATGTTCCGCTCGAAATGGACGCGTTAGTGCCTGTTGCATGTGGGTCACCTTGGTTTCCTTGTTGATTGTCTGAATTAGACATTTTGTCCAAACGTTTTCTTCTGGATAAAGGTTGGTTGCTGTTGGTTATCTTACCACTTCTTAGGTTCATAAAACAGCAAATTTCTTATGGTTCCTACGTTTTTGGGATGGCTATGTCTCGACAATCCTTAATTCTGATATCCAGTGATTTCTGGTAAACAACCGCTAGTCTTCCAAACTATCGAATAATCTTTATTAACGCTACTCAATCTCTCTGGTAACTCACAGGATCGACTAGATTGATCCTAGGACTCCTTGGATATTAAAGTTACTCTCACAATCGAACAATTATTCATGGTTGCTATTGTACAAGTGTTTGGTTTATTTCGATCCTTCTCTCTAAGAGTTTAAAAATGTGGTCAAATTGTACATGAAAACTAAGTTATACGAATAAATGCTAATCGTAATGCTGATTGAAGAGACATATAAAACTGCATGAAAAATGAAGTAAATGGTTTCGATTTGCAAAACATTTAACATAAAAGATTTCTGGAATGTAGAAGTTAAAAATGTGAAGAAAGCGTTTAATGCAAGAAATCTATAAATGATTTTAAGTAAAAGGATGCGTTTGAAAAACAATACTTGGAAGTAAAGGTATTGAAAGCGTAACAGTTCTCTGAAATATAAAGTGCTCGAAATATAAAGAAAGCAATAAAACGTAAAACTTTGAGGAAAATACTTTGAAATGAAAAGACAGTAAATAAAGAAACTTGTAAATGTTATTCGATAAAAAGAAAAGAGGAAAGTACTGGAAATGGTAAAAAGGCTTTCATTAAGTTAGAAATACATGGTGCTATCATACATACATCTCTCTTGCATTCGTTTCCCTTGCCATGTGGTAGTTTGAATGTTATTGAGTATTTTGTATAACAGATATGACACACTTGAAATCCTAATACTAAGACTTCTATTTATACTAATTCGACCCTAACGGTCTCGCTATAGGATCATGCCACGTTTCGAACATGCAAGACAATGCTTCTTTCATCTTTCCACGTGTCCCCAAATGCTCCAACACATAACTTTCAAACTTTGAAAGTCCCGCTTCCATTTAAATTTTAAATGCTTTGGTGTTTCTCCGTTTCGAACGCTCTTCCCAAACCTAGCCTCGCTGTTGTTTCGAGACCCTTTTGGATATGTTCCCATAATCACCGTTCGAAGCTTCAAGCTTTGACACACTCATTCGAAACACTGCTTCTGCAACTTCGAAATATGGTGTTTAATTCCATTTCGATCAGAACTCTTAACCAATTTTAAATTCTAAATAACATTATCAAAATCTTCAGCCAACAACAAGATGCAGTAACCTCCTGATCTATACCTTCCTCATTGCAAAATCTAGAGAATTCAGCTGAAGTATATTCACCACCACCATCAGTTCTTAACTTCTTCAATTTGCAGCCACATTGTTTCTCAGCATGCAATTTGAACTTCTTGAAATGTGTGAATACCTCACTCTTCCTCTCAATAAGGTAAATTCACATATTTCTGGTGAATTCATCAATGAAAGTAAGGAAATACATGTTATCTCCATTAGAATTTACTTCAAAGAGTCCACACACATTTGAATGAATCAACTCTAGTTTTTTCCTTGATCTTATAGGCAAGTCATGTTTGGACGCCTTCCTTGCCTATTTGGCTTTGCAACATTCCTCATATATCTTCTTTGGTTCCTTCACATACGGAAACCCAAGCACCATTCTTTTCTTATTGGGCATACATAAACTTTTGAAGTTTAAATGTCCATACTTGTGATGCCATAGTCGGTTCTTGTCTTCTTTTGTAGTTGAAACAAGACATTTGTGATCTGATGTGTTGAGTTCAACCTTGAACATTTTGTTCTTCTCCAATAGCGCTTTCATTATTAGCCTCCCATCAGCCCTATATACCTTCATCTGATTATTCTCCAACTTTATATTGAAGCCTTTTGCAAGTAATTGACCTACACTTATCAAGTACTTGTCATCGAAGGTACATATAGAATTTCAGTGATAGTAGCCTTTCGACCATCCTTTCTGATAATCGAAATATCTCATTTACCACCTGATTTGATATGCTTGCCATTTGTAAACTTTATCACCTTTTCAACTGACTCATATAACCTGGTAAACTAGTTTTTATTGCCAGTCATGTGGTTGCTACATCCTGAATCCAGATACCACATGTTGTTTTTCTCAGTAGTCGATTGAGTGTTCACCAGCAACAACACATCATCAGAATCACTATCTCCAACTCGTGCATATTAAGCTTCATCACCATCTTTCGACTTCACATCTTTCTTTCTTCGACAGTCTCTAGCATAATGGTCAAAACCTTGACAATTGTAACATTGCACCTCTTTCGTGTCAACTTTCTTCCCAGAATACTTGTTGCCCACACCTTTAGAATCAGTATTCCTTCTTGACTTATCATCACCAGCAAGATTCTTTCGCTGCTTTGACTTTTCTTTTCCAGCTTTCTTGCTGAATCTTGATTGCAATGCTTATTCAGCTGCCTTATCTCTTTTTGAGTTTCTCTGCTGCAACCTCATTTTGTGAGCCTCCAATGAAGCTTGAAGTTTTTCCAACTTCATATCAGATAGATTTTTGACCTCTTCAATTATCACAACAAAGTAATCAAAATCTGCAATTAGGGATCTCAATACCTTTTCTATCTTTTGCAGATCCGTAAGCACTTTACCACATGCCTTCATCTGGTTTGTTATTGTTACAACTCTTGAGAAATATGCAGAAATAGATTCATCCTCTTTCATCTGAAGCATTTTATACTGCTTCCTCAATGTCTGTAACTTTACCTTCTTCAGTTTCTCATCTCCATCATACAAAGATTTCAGCTTTTCCCAAGCTCCTTTTGTTGTTTCTTCTTCAATTATCTTCTCGAATATGTCACAATCCAGACACTGGTGAATAAATAACAACGTCTTTCCATCTTTCTTCCTCTGATCTTTATGCGGAGCTTTCTGGGCTTTCGTAGCATCTACTTCCAGCTCTTATATTCCATCATTCAAGATTTCTACAACATCTTAAAATCCGAAAAATAACCTTCATTTGCGCAACCCACCGTTGATAGTTTTCACCTTTGAAAACCGGTAGATTCGATGGAAACTGTATTGATGTTATTGATCCGTTTGCGATTAGATTCTCTCTGAATCGCAAACAAGCTCTTGATACCAATTTGTTGGAACAAAGGATTCAAGAAAGATGATTTTGTAAAAACAAGAAGAAGAAGAAGAAGAAGAAGAAGAGGAGGAGGAGAAGATAGAGAAAATTGTGAGTTAGTTAAGTGTAACTAACTCTCTAACTGAATGTATATTATTGTTCTATTGATTACAAACATAATGGCCCTTTATATAGGCATATTGCCCAGACCCAAATACATGCTAAAAGCACAAATAACTACATAACAAGAATTAACCAACTAACATGGAGTTCTCTATGCATAGAGAAGTGTGAAATTGAGTGAGTTTTTCAAAGTGAATTTGAAAACTGAAAAGTTTTGTACGGATGTGTTAAAAATGGAGGTGTCTTTCCAACGTCTTGTGTACTTAAAATAAATTTAAAAAAAGTTGAAAAAAATGTGGGTATGACACATCAACAATATTTAATGCTAAATCAAGATGGTGCAAGCCATATAACAAAAAAATCCAATATAAAATTATAAAAATTTAGACAACTAATTAGAAGATTATAAGTGATATTTTCAATTACTTTGATTTTTATAATAGATAATAGAAGTTTTGTTGTTGTTGTTGTAGTATAATAAATATAGTAAAACCAATTTCGTGTATATATATATATATATATATATATATATATATATATATATATATATATATATTAAAAGTGTATCATCTTTCCATAAATTTGGAAACATTAAAAGTGTAAGATCGGATTAAAAAAATTAATTGTTTTACTTATTATTCATCAAATACAATATAGATTTTGAATAGGTATAGTAAGGGTGTTATAATTAGGCGTAAGACGCCTTATAAAATTCTCCATATATTTTCTTAAGATATTATGTTTTATTAGCAATAACCCAGTACGAGACAGAAAAGGAAAACAGTTTATTTCCTACCAAACACAATAATATAACATTATAAAGAACACCTAATTTCCCACCATTAGTGTAAGAACGGAAAAAGAGAAATTAAGAAAAGTGAAGTTAGAAATTTCAAAAACACCCATTTGTGGTGCATACGCGCAAATATGAGTTTACCTTGGTCAACAAAAATTATATAAACAATCACTTAATAGTTTATTTATTTTGGTATATAAATAGGTAAGAGTTCAATGACTATGATTTTCACCATAACCTCAAATTAGCATAAAAGCATTTGAAAAATAAGTACCACTAATATGAAGGTGAGAAAATATATGCATGGTTTAATAATAAGCTCTTTATTTTATTTTTTGGTAAACAATAATAAGCTCTTTATTTGACACAGAAAATAGTTATCCAGATGCATATGGAAAATGACAAACTCAGAAGCAAAGCTATGAAAATAGCAGCAGCTTTTCAAGGTACATGTAACTTTCACCTTCCATTAATTATTTTCATTTATAAGTTGATATTACAATGTTATGTATGGTTCTATATGTAGGCGTGGATTCAGTGTCATTAGAAGGAGAAAGCAGAAACCAAGTAGTAGTAACTGGAGATCAAATAGATTGTGTTTGTTTGACTAAAAAGTTGAGAAAGAAATTTTGTTCTGTTAATCTTCTAAGTGTTGAAGATGCAAAGGCTTCCTCTACTAGTGACGAGGGTGGTGAAGAACCAAAAGATGTTGAAATAATTCCCACATCATTGGAAAATTTATCTTGTTGTGATGAGCGAAACTATCCTCCACCTTGTACCTTGTATTACATAGATCATGATCCATATCCTATTAGTTGCTTTTGGAATAAGTTTGGAACTTATGATCTTATTTACACATATCCATGTTAGGTCAGATTTTTTTTTTAAATAGAAAAGATTTGTCTTTTTTTTTTTTATTTTATGTCTATTTAATTAAAAATGAAGTTGTAGACTAAAAAAAAGTCTTTTAAATCTATTAGACTTACCTATTAAATAAGCAACCATAAATTTATTATTATTACATTGTATTTTGTTTTTAAATTAAAATACAAAAATAAAGCTTAATATCTTCAGAAGTTGTGAATATAATTTAAACAATCTTATTCATAGTATTATAAGTTGTTGTCATTAGTTGTATTTATAACTTTTTTTTAAATAAATAATATTACAAAATTTATGATAATAGGTAAGTTCGGAGGAGTTAATGAAAATAAACATTAGTTTTATTAATTTTTTATTTTGTTAGTTAATTTTATATTAGTTAAATTGTTTAATTATATTTTTAAATGAAACAGACTTTTAAATAGACTAATAAATCAATCAAACATTTAAAAAAATTAGACTCAAACCTAAAAACAAATTTATAATAAACTATATGTCAATCTTAAATTTTAAATTTTTTAATAAAATAAATTCAAATTTATAAAGTCTAACTCTATTTATCTTATTCTTATTCTGACCCTAGTTACTCAATCCTTAGAAAATATAGTGTTATAATATAATAAGCATTTTTGTTAATGTTTAAATTATAATCATTTGTGTTTTTTATTTGATTTGTTGTATTCTAAATAATTTTAATATTTAAAATAACAAAAAAAAGTTTCGAAGAGACTATTTTAGTTTTTAAAAGTGGCATCTTTTCTTTAGACTTGTTTTTAAATTAAAAGTTAATAAGATTTCACCTCAATTGAAACTCTAAACCGATAAGAAAAATGACATTCAGCATGGATTCGACTTCATTGCCAGCAAATTTATGTTTTATCTATAATAAAAGTGATGTCTTCATTTTTTAATTTTTAAACTAAAATTAATTAATTTTCTTTCGGTTGGATTTCCAATCGAGGGAAAAGTGGTATAGGTCCTGGTTTTAATTCTCAAAACTAACATATTTATATATTGTTTTAATAGAAAAAATGATTTTTTTTAATAATTAAATATTAAAAAAAAATACACAAATAACTACGTTTGGAGAAAATTATGCAAATAATCATGTTTTAGAAAATACTAACATATAGGAATCAAGTCAATTGGTGCATCCACTTAAAATTTATATGGAGGTGGTAAGTGAGATGTTGCCTAGGTGCAAGACATTTGGCCTAAGCCATCTCAGATGGCGCTTAAGTGTTATATGAGGGTCAATTTTAATTTTAATTTTATTTTAAATAAAAAACAATAACGAAATTATTTTGCATAATGAAACTTGAATTTTCAATAATCATGAAACAGTTACAAAATATGAATAAAAGTTACATATTATTTATTGTTCCCCGAGAGTCGATAACGACTAGTGGTTCTGCAACCACGTCCTCACCTAACTCGTGTTCCCACTCTACGCTCATCCTGTCATGGTTGTGAAGAATGGAAAAACACAAGAATGAGTGGTTTAAATTGGAGTTTTTAAAACTTAAAGAAAAAAACACGTTGGTTATCCTGATTCGTTTGAACTCAAACTACTTCAATCCACCTGCCAAGGTGATTTCGCCTCTCTCAACGAGGTCTTAATCCACTAATCAAACTTGATTACACAGCTACTATGACAACCATCAAAGTCTTCTTGAGTTTAAACTACAACCCGGTTTTTTTAAGGAATTACACTATACAATATTTAAGAGAGTGTACAAAAAGTGTTTTCTAATAAAACAATATCACGCAAGTGATATTTTACACAAATGAAATTTAGTACGTTGGAGGTGATGAAGATGACTCGTTTTTTGTGCGCTGAAAATCATAAACGATTTCTCCTTCAAGCTTTGTTTATATAGGCAATACATGTGGGAGCTTTTGGAATATTAATAAATAGGAATTAAAGAGTTTTTCAAAAATAGAGATTCTTGTCCCCTTTCAGTTGTTACTCTTGAATAGCCATAAGTGATTTCTAACGCTTCAGAACATGCTTGCTTCAGAAGATGAATGTTACTGTTACTTCTTTCCAGAACTGTATTGTTGTACCCCAAAATTTGCCCTCCCATTTCCTCAACATTTTTTCATTACAAGACCTTTGAAGATCAAGATCCAGTTAGGGTTTCCTCTGCTCAAGACTTCTCCTTGCACTGTGGACTCAAATTAGGGTTTGTGTTTGCCCAAGGATGTTTTGACCTAAAATGCCTAAGATGACTTTCATGTTTCATGTTGGACTCCCAAGTTTACCCATACCAAGTTTCAAGTCTTGATTCCAAGTTTTGCCCAGTCAATTGGACAGATGACCTAGAAATCAGCTGTATTGAAAAAAAAGTCAACTATGGCCAATTGACAGTCAAATCTCATGAAGATTGACCCACATCAACATTATGAACTCATATGAACCATTTGATCAAGTTTGGATCATAATTCCACAAGAAATTTGATCAGATCACCAAAAGGGCAAAATGGTCATTTTTAGGGTTTTGACTGCACAAAGGCAATTTTTGACTGTTTGACCTAACCAATGGCAAACCAAGCTCACATATGGACTCAAGGACTCAATGAAATGGTCTTGACACATTCATCAAGCTCAAAAGATCCCAAGTACACAAGTTTGACAGTTGAATTTCCCAGTCAATTGATCAATTTTGACTGTACACTGAAAAGTCAAACTTTGACTTTTTGGTCAAAATCAAGAGTCAAGATTCATTTTTCATCAAAACATGCCAAATCATGAAACTTGTTCACCAAGAAACCAAGAAATGCAAATTAGGGTTTTAAAATGGAATTTTTCATAACTTAGAATTTTTCTAAGTTATGGAAAACCCTAATTTTTTCCCAACTTTGCCCCACTTTTTCACCATGATTCATTTGGATTCAAACAAAAGTCAAAACATGAAAGTTGTATCTTGTTACATAATCTACAACTTTGATTCACAAAGTTTTCTCATTTGAAGCTTGTATCTCAAGTTACAAATTTTTGAATAAGGGCACTAAACCATTCTTAACTTAGTGAAAATTTGACCTATTTTTGACAAGTTTTTACCCCACTTCAAGGCCATTTTCCATACACTTCCACTTGGAATTTCAATTTGCATTTCAACGATGGATTGTAGTACACATTCCAAGCTTTCCAAAATGTCAAAGAACTCATCAAACAACCTCATGGTTAGGGAGAATCGAATTTCACAATATAGCAAAAACTCACTTTTGAATTGGCCATTTTTCATGTTCATAACTTTGCAATTTGAACTCAGCATGCTTTAGGTTAGATTACAGGTCCTTAAACCAAGTTGCACTCAATAATTTAATGCATATTCATTGTGCTAAGGTGTTGTTCTATGAGTTTGAACATTGTATGCAAGATTAATCCCAAACTAGATAAAGCATTCTTTCCATTTTTGCAAAAGATCACTTTATGTCCAATTGAGAATCCAACAAGTACATTGCAAATCTGATTGTCACAAGTTTATGTGTTAATCACACTGATCAAGGAGGGATTATGCAGCATAGTGTGAGCTCCTCTACAGGCCTAGAAGCACAATTTGCCTTTGTTTGCTTAAGTGTGAAGTAAAGTGGCATAACTCATAACAACTTCCATCTCAGCTTACAAACACAAGAACAAACTTACCAAACACATTCCAGACATCATACCCAAGCTTTTGCACGAGCCTTTGACCTCCAATCCACCCTCTATCTCAGAATCACTCTCAAACTGCAAAAACAGAGTTGCCTCTGCAGTTTGAGTGCCAACTTCTATTTCTCTCAAGCATTCTTGCCAAAACCAGTTCACATACCTTCCATACTATCTATGCAAGCTAACCATGACCTGAAACCTGACCTGTAACACCTCCAAGCCACTTCACCATTTTTGCTTTTCTGTTTTGCAGTTGAAGTTCACCAGCACGATTCAGGGAGTTTCAAGGCAAAGTAGAACTTGGAATAACATCCTTACACTTCAAGGAAGCTATACAAATCATCATTTTACTCTGAAACATCCTCCATTGCAAAGCACGATTCAAACTGAACAGGTATCTTCATGAAGTTCTATCTCTCTTATTAGGCATTGTTAGCTTTAGGTTTGTGAAGAAAATATATCACAATCATAGCCCTGAACATGACCATATAGTTAGATTTCATTTATGTTACGTGTGCTGCAAGAATTTTGAGTCTGAACATGGCATAAAAGTTAGGTCAGAAATTGGGGGAGAAGAAATTCTCCCTCATCTTAGAGAGTTAGGTCAAGTTCTTTACATGGTTGGAATCGTCTCTTAATGCTCTACACTTTTCATGTTATGAGTTTTGCTTGAAAGTCCAGGAATCCAGAGATAGAAAACGCGTGGGTGATGTTGTTCAGAGGTTGAAGATGACTGATTCTGGGCTGGGCCTGGAATATTTTCTTATTTACACCACACAATTGCTTTTGAACCCCCTGAGCCCATTTGCTTATTTCTTTGACTTTTTTGACTTTTTCTTTTTTGATTGACTTTGTTTATTTTTTCTCATGACATTAAAAACATAAAAATATTTTTCCATCATTTTTTTGAATTTATTGCATATTTATTTGATTATTTCTTTTGTTTGTACATAAATATTATATATATTATTATTTAGAATAAATAGAAAAAAATAGTGTAAATACATTTTTATTTTTGTTTACCTTCTGAAAATATTTCACATAAAAAAATACTTTTTTTATTTATTTTATTAAACATTAAATATATATTATTTTATAATGCATATTTAGAATTTAATATATATATATATATATATATATATATATATATATATATATATATATATATATATATATATATATATATATATATATATATATATATATATATATATATATATATATATATATATATATATATATATATATATATATATATATATATATATATATATATATATATATATATATATATATATATATATATATATATATATATATATATATATATATA